ATGTTACAATAATTCGAATAGTTTTAGACAGTTTGTGACGACGGCGACGGCCTGCTCGAAACGTCGAGGGAGGTAAATACCGTTATTTGCTATAAAATTATTAGTGTTAACGCGCACAATAGCACAGGTAGGTAAATAGAAAACAAACTAAAATTCTAACCATATTTTCTTTCGATCTATTACGTTAAAGAAATTCCCCAATAACAGTTTTCTCATATATTTTATATGGAGAGACAACGTACATGTTTATTACAGATATCTATGTATAGATATATACTTATATAGACTTATAAATCACCAACAATATAAAACTGTCAATAGCTAATATATACGTTTTGTACTTTATTGTATTAATTTATATGCTTATTATTTCCAAACAATAAATTGATTTATTGTTAAGTAACAGTCATATTATACTCATTTCGAATATTTATTTACATAAAACGGCCTTTGATGTATAAAATTATAGAAAAAATCCATACTATATAAATTACATATCTGTCACAAGAAAAATAAATAAAACATACAATATTATGCACGGTAGGTACAATAAACTGAATGAAAGTTCATTGACAGCCCTGGTAAGACACTAACTACTCAAGCTGTCAAAATAAAATATGAGCCAATAAGAACACGACGCGCGGCGACAGGGACGTCACGCTAAAGAAATTACGATATATGAACTTATTAAAATATTCTATTTTTTTTCTCGTTTCGCGGTCGGGTGACATCGCGTTAAGGTGAAACGTCTACTCGGTTAGTTATTTTTGTATACCACTTTCCTTCCTGCATTCTTTGAATATGTTTCATCATCTAAAACCGTGGTAGTAAATAACATAATCACATTTTTTTTATAAATATACATATTTTTAAAACAGTTTTTTATACTACGACTCCGGCAAACAAGCAGACGGCCCATGTGACCATCCATCTACGGTAATATATTTTTATATAATTCTAAACTGATTAAGTAAACACCATTCTAGTGAAATTTCACAGTTGGTACTGTATATCTTTTTCTGAATGTACTTACCCTTATAACTTATGATAGTGGCATTATTATATAACAATGTCAATAATTTTTTAAACTTGTCTGAAAAACTAATGGTTTTGTGGTGGTAAGTATTGACGTTCAAAAGTGTTTGTCATATACTTGCCGAAGAATATGTCTAAGTATAAATATATTATTATTATTTAGATGGAATAGAAGAAATTAGTTTCAAAGTAGACACAAGTACCATCATATCAAAAAAGAGGATACCATAGACACTTATTAAAGGCGGAACCCTTTTAGTTCATTTAGCAAATTGTATAAAAATAGAATCTCATGGTGTCATCATAAATAACAATCAGCGACGGAATTTCTACGATCGTGTAAAACACTTGAATGAACGACAACGCACACCGATTTACATATGGTTAATTTACGGCATGTAAGGAAATTATCAATGCGTGTTTAAGTGCCTATCAATTTTTAACTCTGGAATGTCAAAAGAGACCGCTACGCGGCTTCCTCAAGCGGTGAATCGTTCACACGAACCAGTGTTGACTAGTTAAATCCCGAATATTTGGACAAAAAGCCATTTTACAGTTACCCCGGGCCACATGTGGTGGCACAAACATTTGACACGCGCGATCTGGCGGGACTTGACAAACGTCCACAAAAAATATTGTTTATGAACCCACTTAGCATACTTGACATTGTTTTTCAACATGAAAAAATATTGTTACACACGATAAGTATTGGTGTAAATATGTAGTGGATATATTTATCATTATCAAGATTTTAATACTTTTTTATACACTTTCAATCAGCCTATTATACTGTTTTTTATAAACAACATTTTAATTTTTAAGAGGTTGTTATATTATCAATGTATGATCAAACCTACATTTTTTTAATTCATGAAGATATTGAAAACTGTTTGAAATAATTATTAAATAATTTGTATAGCTTAAAAATAACGGAATTAAACAAATCTTAGTTTCTATCCTATGCTTATGTATTCAACAATATTTGATAAATAATATGACCATAATTGAATTATTGCCATCTAAAATATTTCACATATTAAATACATACACACGACTGTCGTCTTAGTAAATTCGATACAACCCATTTACTATTACATGCTATACTTAGCTAGTTACTTTAAAGACAGTAAAAACTGTCAAATTTCTTAATTAATTCATTACTTCATCACAGAAATAATCTACTACATTTACAAACACTCCGGTAGTCAAGGGAAAAAAATCTAGACGTTTTTCGTTCGGAAACCAGGTGCAACAAAAACTGAAACAAAGAGGAAGGAGAGCAAAAAGCGTGACGGACAAACTGACGAATCTCTTAACAGACATCTGTTGCTGAGACGGTGTGGAGAATTGCGTGATTCCATGTGTTAGATTGGGGTAGAATTACTGGAACTCGATCAGCAATGTGGGTTTAAAATGACTATACGATACGACACGATACGATAGCCAAATAATATCGCTGATTTATTTTTATAAATGAGTCCTTAAACTGTAATTTACAATTGTATGCATACTCATGACTAAATATTTCTGTAAAGCTGCTTTCGTTAATTAGGATATTTGTCACGTCGCCACTCGTTTCTGAACGGATGCGCGCGCAATATTCAATTTGCGAACGTTTCGGCGGCCGCCATGATGGAGTATCGGCCATTTGTAACGGTTACCGAAGGTTATGCGTGTGATGAATAGAGGTTTTGTTCAAATCAATTTTATGGTAAAATTATAAGCGTGTTAGTAATGTGGACGTACAATTTTTATTCGTAAACGATTTTAGCGTTACGCTATTTAGTTGTGATGATTCCAATTAATAATGAAGCACTTTTCTTAATATTCTTATGATGTCTAGAATTTTTTGGTATCTAATACTATTTCGTGATTAAGAATAATATGGTATGTCTATAAATAGATCTGCAATTAATACAATTATATTTCTTAATAAATAAGATTTCGTAGGTAGATATATATTCTCGCATTACTTTAAATTGTACTATCTCATATCTAGTTTCGTCGTGGTATGTAGGTATATTATTTGTTGCATCAATAAATCAAACAGACTATTAGGTACTTCTGATCATCACTACTTAGTCTACTTAAGGTGTTTTCTTATGTATACTTCCTAGGAGTAATGTAAATATAAAAAGGCAAATGTAAATATAATAATCATTGTTGGAATTAAAAATTAGCACAAAATTTTTTATTAATTTTATGACACAACCATTTTCCTAAAGGTAAATGTATTTTACGCATTGCCTAATAGAAGGTTGTTTCAATTTCAAGATATTGATGGCTGACAGCGCGGAAAGACAGTCAGTCACGCTTTCCTGGTTTTCGAATGTAGGTCTAACCTGTTGTCTAACCAGACAGATGGCTTGATAGTCATGACTGAAATTTAGAAGTTCACAATTGTGGTCACACTACATGTATCTCTCGGTATTACCTGCGTCATTTCGGATAATAAGGATCCTATTTATTTTTTGAGTGAGAATTTCATACGAATCCGTCCAATAATTATTGCACGAAAGAGAAACATTGTAACATTTTTTCCCGTTTATAATATTAATAGGATTTCATTGACTTAACTAAACAATAAATAAAAAACCTATTTATTATATATAAATTACGACACAGAAATTTAATTATTTTTGACCCTGCCACTTGTCTTTTGTCACCTTTGTGGGACTCTTATTTTATCCTATTTAATACTAAAGATAACATACCTATAGATAAAATTGTAAATATTTTTAAATTTCTCAAAAAAGTTCAAATTCGTCTTTTAACATTGAAATATATTAAACATTGAAATATAACGTCACGAGTGTTAGTATCCTTTCTACCCCGTGTCACACAATATCACATTTTGTCGACCCTTCCCTTCCGCTCAACGTGTGACGTATTTATGGATGGTCGCTAGTGCAGGTTAGTGTGGTAGCCAAATCCTTATTTTACAAAAAGTAATGTACCATAAAACTCATAGTATGAAATTTCGGGATTAATATACCTTTAACTATCTGTAAAATTGAACATTGTTATGATAATAAATGTAATTCCACACCTTTTATACATAACTTCACGCGTCTTTAATTGGACGTATTCAAAAAGAGATATAATTCACGTTACTTGCAATGCATATAAGTTGTAAAAATCAATTATACGCAACAAATCTATTACAAATTCTTAACGCGTTTTTTTATCTTTAAGTACCTACTTCAGAATTGTTATAAAGTCATAATACTATTCGTTTCATATAAATAGTATCTATAAATATTACTGCACGACACGTTTAATATATTATTCATAAAGAATGTTTGTTTCACGGCAAAAATAAATTTAAAAAGGATGCACCTACCAAATTATACAATTCTATGTACTAATAATACTCGCGACTTTGCCCGTGAATTAAAACTGAAAGTATCCTCTGAATTAAAAGGATTTCGCTATCTCTTTCTTCTTGTAATTGTTCTTACTGAAGGTTAAACTATATTAATTATAATCCGAGTTGTAAGTTGAGTAGTATATTTATTTCGATTAGAGTTTCGCTGAAATTCTGATCAATCAGTGCGTTGATAACCAAAGGACAAATGATTTTATAAATATACTTAGATAATCAGCTGTAAACCGTTGCTTTTTTTAATAGATACTCTATGTCCGTCTTTATGATACAATCAATCTTCACACCTATAATTAAAATCAAAAGATCTTCAACAGAACCGTTTAGTCGTGATAAGGTTACAAACAAACAGACAAGACAGACAGACGCACTATCAATTTTATTTAATCTACCTTGATGGCAAACCATCTTATATATCATCTGATGGTAAACTGGCTATGGACGCCTGAAAAACCAAGATAACAACGTGATACACGTTTACGTTGCCGACCCTTGTTGCGGCATACTCTCATTGCAATATGCTTAGTAACACGTAAAATTACACCGTTAATCAATTGCACCATAAATTCTTAACTCTTACCTGTATTACCCTCATAGGTAAGCCCGTCTCCTTCGCCAATTGTTCCCGTATATGCCTCGTAGGTTTCGGAGTCTGTGAGAATGCAGACTTCAGTATCTCGAGTTGCTTGGCTTTTATTGTGGTCCTTGGTCCTCTTCTTTTTGAGCCCCCATTTCCGTCATCTGGTGATTTGTTTTCCGCTTGTGAATCTCTTGTTTCGGGATCACCGTCTAAGGAGCCCTGCGTGTGGAAGAAAAACAACTGAATACGACAATGTGAACGGTTCATTGGTGAAGGACATTATATGGTCGAAATTACTTTATTTTAGTACAAAGTTTTTTAATATACGTTTACAAGTGGTAGGTATACGTGGTAGTAACTGCACTTGTTGATTTTGGTAACAAGAATGGCGAACAAGCTGATGACTCACTTAATGGAAAATGACAACCGTAGCGTGAACATCAACACAGATGTCATGTGACCTCTCATGATCTCTCATGTATGAAAACTAAGGAGTCGTGCCTATGTATTCTGTAATTTTACTATAATTTCTCACCAGTCAACTGTAACACAGCTAACAACGCAAGCTGCTTGACGTCTGAAATAGGTGACATAACTCACGCAGACGATTTTGTACGGTCTACCTCGATTAAAATTTACGTATAAACAGTGATATTAATATTAATACTGGACCTCGTCGGGTTACCGCTAGGTTTAGCACAATGCCTTACTTTCAATGGTCTCAGGTTCAATTCCTCTTACCATACAAACTTTTCTATTCATGAGTAGACACGATTGTTTGTAGACCGATCTGAGTATTTTCTATGAATACCTATTATGTATGTAATAAACTGTACACAGAATTCAACTAATCTTAATTTAATAAACATTCAACAGATAGAATACTAACCAAGCTGTGATTCACATAATATCTTTTACAATCTGAGACTTCGTTTTTGTAAAGTTCCCATAACACTACTTGTGTCCTTGGTTTGGACTAGATGGCGCTGTGTGAAATGTCCAGTATTATTATTAATTTAACAGGGTATGTGATACCAACCTGATCTTCCGAGTCTTCGTGTGGTTTGGTGTCGCCGTTGTGAGAGAGGTCTGAATGTAGCGCCGGATGCGGCGCGTGCGCTGGACTACTCGAATTATTCGCTGCTCTCGATTCATCTTCTTCCTCCTCATCTGAACCTGAACCTAGTAGCGAGTCCGCTGTAAAATAAATTTTAGACATGAGAAAAGTTTATCATGACATTATGAAAAGATATGAAATTGAGTCCTTATATTTACCACTGAGAGATATTTGACTAGTAGTTACTATACGGAATAGTATAGATACCTAATAAATAGTATCTATTTTGCGTAAGTTAGTAAAAACATATATAAGAAAGGATTATACCAGAAGTCACATCGATATAAGAGAAGCAAATTGGTACCAAGACCAAGCCAATAGTGGGCAAAATTATCCTCTTATAAGGAGGGACACTTCTCCAGCAGTAGGCTAAAAATAAAAACAAATATTACCTTCGCTATATGTGTACCTACATGAACAGCACCACCACATTATTGTATCATCTGGCTTATAATGTGCCTATACGTATAAACCATAAAGTATATCTAAATACATTCAAGCTGCCTAAACTATGCATATTAAGAAGCACTTCGTATTTCATACACCAATAACCCTTTAAAATGGACTAAAAATTGACTTATCAAAAAGCAATCGCCGACCCCTACGTAGGTTTAACGAAATAAAAATGTAATTTCGGGGCGCGTCCCCAAAGAAACGGGAAGAGAAAGAATTAGCCACAAAAACAATTACTTATGGTACGGGGCGTAGTACAGGGAAATAACCACGGTCTCTCGAAACAAACTCGAATCTAAAATTGTGTAATCGATGTAACTTTTCTTTAGTAAACGGTCTTATACCAAACATTATTAGATTGTGTATATACAAATACCTGCTTAAATAGAACCCGAGAAGCATAAATTACAGTTTGCGTGTTGGTCATCGAACGTCTATCTTCTGTGGACGTATGGAGACTTTCTGATAAAAGCCAAAAAAATGAACAACAATAAAATAGGTTTTAACTTTTGAGTAAACAATAAATATCGCCGGAGTTCTATTCACTATTGTGAATGAAAGTAACCTAATCTGTAAAAATTTGAGCCCTTAACAAAAGCTGTAAAATATAATACTATTGTTTAAAATAATATCATTTTTCTTTAGAAGTGGATATTAAGTTTCAGTTACAATGACTTTTAAGCTCGTTTTTTAAATTCTTTTACTGTCCTGCTTTCGCACCTAAACACTCCATTCAATAATCATTTCATATTTCGAATAAAAAATATACAACCATAAATGCAAAGCCTACTACTTTGCAAAAATAAGTTGTCACCTTCGATGAGGAAACAATAGTTTGTAATTATGTATATATTTAAATATCACAATTGTTTTAAATAAAGTATGTCGAATTCGACAATACCCATTTTGAGATAGCATAATGAACTTACCAGTACAAATAACAGATAAAGTATCTTATCTTGTCTTTGTAATAGGTATTTTTTTAATACCTTGTAATGGAACTACAAGAAGACATGATATGCATATCCTTCATGATAGTATCTACTACATAAAGCTTTAGAGCTTTATGTAGAATTATATAAGCGCATTATTTCAGAATATTTAAATATCTATATTGGATATTTCTTTTGTATTGTTTGTAGTTATTGGGATATAGTTTGTATGAAAAAATATGTTTGTAAAATTCTACGGAAAGTGATATGTTTCAGTAAAAAATATCTATATAAAAATTTACATCTTATCATATTACATGGTCATATTGTAAAAAAAAAAATAAGTAAACAAATATTTATTTTAAATGTATTTGAGAAATCAAATTAGAAACAAAATATGTATTAGGTACAATAATATAAAAATAATCAATCTCTTTTCATTATTTATATTTTCTTAAAATCCATAATCACGGATTTAGTTCGAGTATACGCTAAGTAACCAATAGTAGGGGTGGAAAAATCGTTTATGCTCGGCAAACAGGGGATGGCAGTTATAAAATATTTGCAGCCGGGGAGCCGAGGCGATCGAGAACTCTTCAGTGCTGTTTAGATGCGTCTATGATGTGTATAAATAAGCAAATACTTATATCATTTTCCATTGTTCAAACACTATACATATTATCTACAAACGTTATTTGTGAGTGCATTCACTTGCAATAGTATGTTAGATACGATCAATGAGGTTAAGTAACATTCAACAGGTTCAGTTTCTACATTGATGTTATTGTCATTCGGAAAGTTTATAGACATATTTTAATCTTCAAATATAAACTTGAAATTAGATCAATCATACTCAGATCATGTTTTTTCTGTATGTTTTCTGCTCGAATATCTAATTTTACCAAAGTTAGACTTTTAGAACGTTCTCTGCGTGGGTACGTCTGTTTCACCAATTTCAACTAACAGCAAGGCAGTTTATAAGGTTTGTTTAGGTTGGTAGTTAAATTACGCTTCGGTTTTGTGTATATCACATGTATCTTCATATAATTCATTACTTTACTTGAGTTTACTTTAGTGAAGGTCATTCTTTTAGAAGTTTTTTCAACTCTTTGTTTTCATTAGCAACTCCATGAAAGTAAAAACTTATTTTTAATTTTATGATATTAGCTAGCCTAGGTACCTATACTGGCGTAAGTATTACCTATATGTAATCATTTATAAGTATACTTGTAGCCCAGTTTTTTTAACACTACAATTACATCTTACTTAGAGATATACTTAGGTATCTAATGTTACGTCTATTTTTAGAAACGAAATATCACAACTTAAAAAATACCATACACACAAAATTACCGTTAATAATGAAAGCTTAAATGATGATATTGCGTTTGAAGAATTTGACTTATATTAATTGTGTCGAGTTTTTCCGGCGGACTGACTTGCGGTTCACAGCTGCAAGTCACGCCTGGGGAAACTACTCGTTTAAGGGTATGTATATTACCTACCAGTTATATGTTGCTGGTGTTTTTATAATATTATTTAATAAAACGATAGGTTTATTTGTTAATATGCATCAGGAATTGAATAATGGTCATGTTATTGTATAAATCCATACTGAAAAATATTACTTAGATATTATTATGCAAGTATAAAGTATAGATATTATATAACTAAATATCTATACCTAGTGAGTGTGTAAATGTTTACAATGCAACTAAAAAAATAAAACTAAATAATTAGCTTCCCCTTAAAAAGCATGGTTTAGTGTTTTAATATCTGCTTAATACAAAATTACTTTAGTACATATATTATTTATACGCACTCTACCGTAGATACATACAAGCAGTGATACAACGTATAGTTTAATACTGTAATTACTTTAAGTAACGCAACTAACCGCCTTACGTATCTAATTACTCTGACATATTTACAAACAAAAACAAAACAACCAAATTTCGGTCATACAGGAAATTTTCAACCCTATTTTCTCCAAATATCCGATTTTATAATAATCGGATATTTGTGAGGATGGGTTATTATTTTTTTTACTGGATGGTTTCGAATGGTATTAAGTAGATACAGAGATAGAGTCTCAATTAATACAGAGGAAACTTATTACCGAAATTCTCCCAGGCAGTGCCTTATAGATATAAATTAATGAATATTAATATTTTTTAATAAATGAATAGAATATTTAAAATGTAGTTTTTTTAATATCCACGGTATCGGGTACAAGGGTTATTTATCTTCTTTAAGTACAATTTAATTAATTTCGACTTTGTTTCAATAATTGTTTTAGTTCATTTACATTCAAGAAAACCATAGTAATATTAATAAAATAAAAAAAGTAATTCAAAAATTTAATTTAAATTTTGTAAAGGAGTCAATACCCGACAATTTCCCAAGCACTCGAGATACGATCGCAACTCGTCTGGAGTGAACTCAAACACTCGTAGTAAAACATCCGCGCTCAAGCACTCTCTCACCCCAATGTTTTACTACTACGCCACTTGAGATCTTTGCAACACCGGCCAAGTTTTGGTACATTCACCCGAGTTTTTAATTGATATAGGAAAAAGACGACAAACACTTCATTCTTTTGAGGTAGGTTCGATCTATTTATACATATTTATCAACTATATTTATAAAAAGAATAACTTGTTGAAGTAAGTTTTGACGGCCTTGGTAGTCTAGCGATTTAGCACACCGCTTTACTTCCGATGGTCACGCGTTCGATTCCTCGCACGGTGTAAACAATTGTAGTTATGAGTAAGGTTATTTGCAAAAAAAATCTAAGTATTTATATCAGTCGTGTAGTACCTACCCATAACACAAGGGACGAAGCGTGGAACTAGATGGACAGTGTTATTTTTTCCTATTTATAATATGCTCATATATTTTATGCACGTTATATAGTGTGAAGCTACTAAATGACGTTATTGTCCAATATTACAAATATCAGATGTTTATGTGACTTTACACCTGACAGGGACCAGTGAATGATGAGATACTGCGCTGACAAATAAATAATTAATAGACAATGGCAAGGCATTCATGGCCTGGCCATAAACGCACTGGCCTAAAAGTCTTAGTGTCATCATGAAGACACTAAGACTTTTAGGCCAGTTAATGATATTTGATTTTCGAATCACTCTAATCTAAATGTTTGTTTTTATTAGAATTTAATATATTAAACACGTAAACAAAGCTTATTAAGACGACCTCCATCCAGTCTTTACTGGACTCTACCTAGACCATAGTGAATGTATTGTTATGTGTAAAGTTAATAAAATACTGGACAAATAATACTACCATTATAATAATAACTACTAAGTACTGCTATCCTACCATTAGTAAGCACTGTGACGGTAGTTCGTAGTCCCTACTTATTCTATATACCTAAGTATTAATACTTATTATCAGTAGGTTAGCACCTTCCGTAGTTACATCTCTATACGTCTCTAAATGTAGGTAAGTAAACGCCCCAATTCTAAAATCAATTTTAAAACCTCTCCCCAAATAAACGACTTCCTTTGTCCTGACACAACGTCCCTAATCGAATTTTGGCGGGAAAACGGCCTTTTATTGTCGTTAAATTTCAAACGTGGAACAGCTCCCTTTGATGTGGAAAATACTAAATTATTGAGGCTTCTTAATTTGAAATTGAAATAGAATGAAATCGAGTTTTCCATTTT